GGCTCAACCAGTCCCACTTTCACTTGACCGGGATGCACATCTAAAATTCCCGTTTGGATTCTACACCCCACTCAGGCACCAACAACTAACCAACAACAAAACATCGTCCAGCAGGCTTCAAGGCGTCCGTGGCGCTACCTGATTGGGAATTCCTGCCTCGTGGATCAATCAGCTGACACATCCAGAACAGTCATTTGGTCGTCGCGCGAGGCGTCGGGCGAACCAATCACATCGTTCAAGCGTGAAAATGCTTGCCTGTGTTGGTGGAGTACTAGTAACACGTTCGTCTCGCTTTTCAAATGCCGGTGTTCAAAACCCGGCATGGCCAAGGATCTACACCACTGATGAGCTCTAATAAGACCGGAACTTGAGTCCATTGCACTCGCCCCTATGGTATAGACTCACTAGAATAATCGCATTAGGATAGGAGGACGACTGATCAAACGAAAGTGATGTGTACTTGAAATCATAGTTCCTGTGCCAATTCCTCGTTTTCTCACACACAAGCACCAGAGACCCATTTCAATCTTCCCCTCTTCCAATTTTTCAGTGGTAACTTATTTTTATACGTACCAAAGTGTACTATTGCAGGAATCCTGCAAAAGAACAATGAAGCATTTGTAAGGCTTTGATATTTCCTGTTTAGGTATGTAGACAGAATTCCATTCCAAGCACTCCTCAGAAAGAACACCCTAACCACCCGAGTAGCAATCCACACACTTCGATTTTATGGAAATTAATGTATGGAGACTTTTCATGTGGACAAACCATTTACAGGCTCCGTACGTTTACCTAGAAAACAGTACCGGTCTTTAATTGGTTATGTTCATTCCGTACTGTTTCCCCCACCGTTAGTACCGAACTCACAGACATGTCTTTGAAATTGAAATCACATCTAAAGAAAACAAATGCATGTGACCTTCATCTGTTGGGAAAGCCACCGTTTACAAGAAACTGGTTTATGATTTTGTGATCGATTGTGTTTGGCTGTACAATACAGCAATCATCCATACTTCCAGATGAAACTCAACCCAGCTGATGAATGACCACAACTCACGTGAACGTAGCGACCAGTAGATTGAACATCAGTACTTGGGTGAGCAGAACATAGGCGCTCAGCATAACTACCGTGAGCCGACGAGCCGATGTTTGCGGACATTTGTTCAAATCACGACAGGTGGAACCTGTACGGAAGAAAATAATACGGTCAATAACTTCGGATGAAACGATACTTGTTGATTTCTCCATGTCTTACTTCATTTGAAAGTCTGACGATTTAGCTGTGGAAATTTCACTCAAACGGATCCAAACCAGTACAACATATACAAATCAGTAGTCGAATGTGTTACTGAGCCATCTTCTCAGCATTAACGGACAGACTGAAGCATTTCTAAGCCACAGAATTCCCCCATACGAAAAGTCCAGGAGGTCTACAACAAGCGCTCTACCATAGATTACAACTGAACTACCCATCTCTGCAGAGATTGTGTCTACCACGCTATTCACTGGACTTTAACAACATCCTTCTGGTTGGTCGACTGTTACAAAAAAACAGACACAAAAGAATGATTCTTCATCTTGCGACTCTTATCAAAATTCAGTCAAAAAGTTGCACTAGACCAAACAAACATCGGTTTGCACTGTGAGATCCGTGGAATCGAAATCTGACCCCGACCAACGGTGCTAATGTTTTGATCCTTGCACGAAGAGTACAGCCTGACGGCTTGACATGGAAGCACGTCCTATGGCTTACAGACCTGCATGAATTTAGAACATCCATACGTAAATGAAGCTCGTTTTCTGAGCGTCCTCACCCGAAAGTGCCTTTGTATCAATCAGTCGCTGAGCTGAGCACGATATGATCCAAACCTTACACAACCAGAGGCGCAGAAAGGCTCTGTTGTGCTTCAAGTAAAATGCAAGAAACTATCCAACGGTTATGCATTTGTTCATTTATAAAATACTGTACATTACAATCTCAGTTTTGGTTACGGCTGGCTTTTTCAGGACAAAATCTACTTGACCCTTCAGTGATGATATACCGTGATGGACTGAAATACTAAGGACATTCTTTTATAACTGTTTCACTCGTCACCTCTTGTGTCTTTTTTCAATAATATTTTCTGCATTTATATGCCTCTGATCACGCTTTCTGGTAAAAAGTCGATTCTAGTAAAATTAACAATTGTAGCGCACTGAGCCACCTTGACTGACCGACTTGGTAGCTAGGATGTCATTGGCGTATGCTAAGAGTCCAGTCACTTCAGATGGGGTCAACTGCCGTGTTTGGTTTGAACGTACTGGTTGCCTTAGATAATGAACCCCATAATCTAGATGAACCTTCTGCACTCATTCCAACCAGTATACAGGAGAGACTCGTGGGTCTCATGTGTGGGCACTGCAGCGAGTGATACAAATCGAAAGCTGCCCTGTTCGCCGACCGCTGAAGTCACGCCCATGGGAGGCGGCATGAATGTGGTCACCCAATCGACCTGTGCTGGCTGTTCCCGTCTGTTTTTAATGTGGATTGGCCTGGGTCAAAGTCACCAACATTCTCACTTGGCATAATGCAGATAAGCTTGGCCGAATGAAAACTTCCGGTGTCTGCTTGTCCCAAAAAGAGCCACAACCACTCCTGAGCCTGGCTGACAAGCTACCCCTCTGGTGATATGCAGTCAGCGTGAGACTGGAGTAATATTTTCCTCGTCTATAGGCTACTGGTATCAAAACTAGTTTACGTATGCTTAACTGGGAAGTCCACCTGGATGAATCGTCATTCTGTGGTCCTGACCAAACACCGGTCACACAGCTCCGAATTTCTCTAACTTTGAAACCTATACCACCTGATTTGAAACAAACCGTAGTTTGCACTATCATTCTTGAAATCAAATTCTGACAGGTCGTTGGCTGGTGTAGACATTCTAGCCTTTGCCCAGTGGCTGCAGTCCGGCATCACGACACCGGAGCAATTCTTGTCGCTTCAGGGCCTCCATGCATCCAAGACTTTTCCACACACGCGGAAAACTGCCTCCCGAAGCCGTCCTCAGTAAGTCCACCGTGTGCCGGCCGACCGAGAGCAGATCCTCGACTAAGCCGCCATCCAGACTTTATATCATAAAAGAGGAGGAAAGATGCAGCATCTGCTGTGCTCGGTGGAAGGAACTTTACAAGGTCAGTTTCGGACTACTTTTGCTCACAAAAAAGTACTGACAACATGTGTTGCCTGCTGGATAGTCTTGCAGTATTGCCATTGGGTTGGAACTTGATCAAGCCAATTACAGATGAAGAAGTTGGTTGTACACTTCATTTAATTGGCAATTCGGACAGATTCGGACAAGCCGACGCCTAGAGTGCTTCACCGATTCAAAGCCAACTTATTCTTATCTGGGGATCATCCACCACATCTGTTACTCTAATCTCATCGGAGGCCAACGGAGACTGATCTCCATGTCATCCGTTCTTATGTGATGGTTTCATAAAGTGCTTACTGATCGCTGAACCTGTCTTTCCCCAGCCTGCACTTCCACATCCAGACGGTTGTTTGAATGGTTTGTCACCGTTCAGCAACCGCTGCTAACCTTAGTTTGACGTTTTTCGGCATCCTGGAAGCTTTGGATTCGGTTCTTATGATACAAGTATTAGATCTCTTGAGGCGTTTGGAGCATAGATATTCCTGGCATGATACACTCAAATTCGTAAAAGAACGCTAGATAGCGGACTTCTCCAGTTAGAGGGTTGACTGCCATATGAGAAGAGGTAGGGAGATCCGTTTTCCTGGATATTTTTCATCATGGCGATAGATGGGGATTTTAGATTGCAAACGTCACAGTTCCACAATACCCCGTTGAATGGTTTTGCCTTTGTAGGATACTGGGTAATGTATGCAGAAAGCCAGGCTCACCCTTAAGGTAAGCTTGAAGCTACTGATGTCCAGATAGACGAGAGCAGTGGTGATTTTCAGGGATAGAAAACATCGAGTGACTGTGACCTCTGCTGGATCTTTCTGCTTCCCTGAGGAGCTCATCATTCCTCTGCGTTCGATATATATATTTGGGTGTGCTATTTACCTTCAAGGGGAAACAAGTGCACACCAACCGACACAAGTTGCTGAAACTTCTGAATGAAGTGACGCACGCCCCGTTGAAACCGCACCAAATAATGGAGATTATAAAGAGCTACCTAATGCCTAGAATGATACATTAGCTCATACTCTGCCAAATTCAGAGCAAAACTCCCAAAGGGTTGAATAATTACATACGACAACAAATTCGTGGCTGGCCCCGTCCATCGAAGGATAACCCAATCAACTACATCCACGCTGGTAAACAACATGGGGATTGATGTCCAAATTCTGAGTTGAACTATCCCGATGCGGCGGATAGCGCGTATAGAAATGCTTCTGGCAACCCAGTGCCAAGTAACACACAATGTGGTAAATGCCTCTGCATTTGCTAACGTTGTTCGGGATCTTAACCTTCCGATCCGAGTCCAGGCTGCATGCATGAACACCAAAGAAGAGCTTGTGACTGCCTGGGGAGATAGTCTGTATAACAGGGCTAATAGTCACGATTTGCGAGATTTGATCGCTTCCAGAAAGTGTTTTCGCGGTTTCCAGCTCCAGTGCAACCAGCTTGGGAGGAGAGATCCGAGCGTGACCATGGTGACAAGATGACCTGTCATTAGGGCCGTGGTTAGCCCGAGTATTTGGTGCATATTCTGCAATTCTCCTGGACCCTGCATGATGCTCGTCATAATCAGACTACAAGGGAAGTCGCGAAACCTCACCGCCGATAGAGACATACTGTCTTGGAGTAGTCGAGAGCACTTGACTTATTGACCTTCCGGGAGTGCTGGTCTACTGTGATGGACGTAAGCATAGTCTCGGATGGGCGTGGAGTGGTTTCATCAAATGAGACGAAGCAGGTGTACGGTGATGATGATTGTTCCGTCGCCATCATCTCAGCCCCACATACCATCGATTACGATGTTGATGTTTTGGTTCACCAACCGACGGTCATTGCATATTGAGGGTCCTGTTTTCTCAATCCGCCAAGGCCATTATTGGACTGGAGCTTTCTAAGGTCACAGTCGGTGACTTGTGTCTGCTCACAACTTTGGGTTCTGTAGGCATGTCTGGTAATATAGTGTGTGGTACACGGCATTGAGTGCTTACTCATGCCACTGAGTTGCACACTTGACTCTGGGTCTGACACCTTCCTCCTGATGTGCGAGTATTGACTTTGTCGGTGCTAACTGCGCCTTGAAGAACATTCAGCACTGTTTGTCTTCTCTTCAGTTGCTGATTTTTTCGCCTGATTGAAAAGCTACTGATAGCACAAGTTCGAGTAGAAAGTTTCGCTCTTTTTTTACTGATGTTTTCCTGCAAGTTCTTTGATACTTATCGCCTGCATCTTTGCTCTGGATTATACTGTTTAAAAAGTAACGATATTAGTGATAACGGTTAAATCGTTTTGTCCAAAACCGTATATGTGCAATTTACCAGAAGGGTAAAAACAGTAAACGTTAGTGGCGTCACTCTAGCAGAAACAAATACAGGGTGCCAACGGCGATGAGACCAGTATAGCATTGAACCCTAACTTTCGAAGGTAGATTGATAGTACGCAACCTTGAATAGACTCAACGAGTGAGACAAAACTCGCACCATAGGTCTTTTCCAGTGCTTTTCACTATGCTTCAGATACTAGCTGTCCTAGGGATAAACAAAATGTCCCAAACCCGTAACGCTTCGATTCATCCCTATCTCTTGTCAAAACGTGAAAAGCGAACTCATTGTTGGACTCTGTACCGCACTACCACACTGTAAACAGATGAGGTCGACCGAGAACAACTGATTCACACAGCTCGATGCAGTAGTGTCTGTTGCAACCAGATACGTGTGCGTTCATTGAGAATCTAGCGCTCATTCCTTAGTGCTAAAGAACACGGGTGAACACCAGTTAGATGGTCTAACATATCAGAAATTAGTATTAGTATTTAATAACGAACGGAGAGCGCAATAATGGACGAAGAGTGAGCAGTTCCAATCAAAAGTCGCACCACAGAGTTGCACCATGATGGGCTGTGCGAGGATATGAGTAGGCTACAATTTTTCTTCGGGAAGATTGATCTAGGGACTATTTCAATCTTCGGATTGCCGAAGCATCCACCGATCCACCGTCTTTGTAGACCAATTTACAACTCGACGAAGTCAGGCATTCGTGTGCAAATGACGACAAGTAATTTATGTATCCCAAACAAAGTTTATATGTGCGCAACATCAACACTGAAAAATGCGGAACAGCCAAACGTTTTTTTACTTTCCGTCATCCATGTTCCACACGTACCAAACCCACGAATTTAGGAACTCTGTTTGAGGACAATCACTTGAACGTTTGAAATTCAGAGATCCTACCGCTGTGAACATTTGAGAGGGAACGATGATAGTTCCGACAAGAATGTGAAAAAACACTTGACTGGAATGAGTTGCGAAATTGCCAAAACACTATCAGTAGTCTAGAATCAAGTAACTTGATGTAGAATTTTCACCCGAGGTGCAGAGGTCTCGACCACTGGCATAAAAAATTAGGGGAATTTCATGGTCATACCGAGTATTGAAAACTGAACGTTGTCACTGGAGGTTGATGTGACCTCATCGTGCAAAACAACGTGTGGTCTTAATTTATTTGGGACATACCGGCGTAGATCAAAATTAACTTTCAGTCAACTGTTACATCCTAAGTTTGTGCGCTGGCCTTGTAATCTAAATGCACGTTTTCACTTGGGTTGGCATTACTAGTACTATATCAGTCAGTCGATATTATCTACCTGGCAGACGTATTTTTCGACCCTCTTGCAAGGATACTAACTGAGGCCAGATACACAGAGAACCTGGCCAATTTTTCAGACGAAATGTGCTTACAGGATTTTTGTCCTTCCACACAAAGACATAGTCTCCCTCCTTACAATGATCATATGATTGTGTGGCGCAGTAGAGACTAATCTGTCTTTGGTAACTGCGAAATACTGGCATCCATGGAGCAGCTAAACGTTGTTATGGTGGAAAGTCCTAGCTTGGAGAATATAGATTGAGAGCAGTGTGGTTGATGTGATTACTGTTCCCATTCGAATCAATTAACTCAAATCGATTCACCTTTCAGATTCAACTCCTTCATCCCCCGCCATCTCAGTCACACGATTATTAATCAATCGACTTATACGCACAACTTGGTTTGGTTCTAATTCATATATAAATTTGATACATTCAGGCCTTTTTTGAAAGCGCATGTTCTGCGAATGATATTCATTTTAAGACCGTAAGCATTAGGTGAAATGACAGAGTTTATGAATTGTATACAGGTGTCCCACGTTGGTGGAGACGCATGGTCTCCATGGCGGTTATCATGGCAATTTACCATGCATAAATTTGTTCTGATTAAATGCATTGGAATTAAGTAGGGATACTTTACTCTTTTGATAAGAAAAGGAAGCTGAAGTCCTGGATTTGATCAACTCTCTGAACTTTTTCAATCTATATGTCAGCCGTTCTGTTTGCTCCGTTTAATCGAACTTGTAACCAATTTCCTGGATAAGCCAGTTCCCTACCAGGAGTTCACACTTCCATCTTTGTCAAATATTGTGTCCTATCCGACAGGTTATGGACACAATTTCTACACGATGCGTGGTACAGCGTTGAAGTTTTGTTGCCGTAACTAACTCAAACACATACATCATGATATTTCGAGAACACTGAAGGGTTTCAAAAAATGTCTGAAAATGAGTGCGACATGCTTATCCGGTCCCATTAACTAGAGTGATGGTGCAACGAAGTCGACTGGGTTAGCTATCGAAGGAGACGCCTACGTCGTCTGGCACCAAATAGAATTTCGATACAAATACGCAACACTTGCAATTGTGCCACCACAGGGGACAGAATCCAACAGATCACCGTCTGGTGTAGTTTTTCAATGTTTCCTCAATCGGAGGTCACCTCATGAGCTGGGTGAGTGGGAAGCCACATCATTTGCTCAAGCAAAACTAAGTGAGCTTCATCCCATCCACAGTCGGTGTCGTCCTTATTGCTCTTACCAAAGGTAATCAAATTTGTCGATTTTTCCACACTGAACATCATTTGTCTTTTTGCAGCTGAAGCTTGCCCTCTCCGGATGCCTCCAAATTTTTTCTATATCATGAATGGCTAAACGTGAAAGGGAAACAAAGTGTTTGAATGATTGCTCCTATGGAGTGATGAGTAGGCCAAAAGTCATTCCAGAACTGGAATTATCGGTATTGTTTCGTTGCAAACAGAGCTCAGATAAAGATTAACTGATTCAGCGTCACTACCCCGTTCACAGAGTACGTGTATTTTCGATTGGAAACTCAATGTGTGTGGCGGGATCACACCAGGTGAATTGGTTCTGAGAAACTATATATCCTATGTTGCTATGGTCCTCTCTACACTAGGGAGGCAGAGTTATGTTCCTGCGCACTGTTGGTGGTCCGTAACAAATGCGATTAAAATAGTGCTTTCTAACCCACGGTCGATCACCCCAGCTCTAACCGTCGGAGTGTAAAACTTGAGCTTGTTACTCAGCAATAAATCATATTTTCGTGTATGACGTATTCTACTAGCCTTCAGGTTGGAAACAGTCTTGCCACTGATGCGGAGTCTACTGAAAAACGTATTATCGATGCGAGATGTACCTTCCTCAAGAAATGCTGTGATCCCCGTCCTATCATTCACACAACTGCTTCACTTTGGGGCTGGCTTGATATAGTTTGCAGTAGAAGGAGCAACCGGTTTATCATATAACAACGTGATCTCCCAAGGTTCCTGTGAGCTGATACGTACACAAATTTATCGCATGTACGGGTAAGTGCTCAACCATAGGGTTCGTAATGAATGACATTCAATACTGCGGACGAAGAACCATAGCCATAAAGGAAACTACTCACAAAGTTGCTGAAAATTCTTCGAAAGCCCACGAAACCACAGAGATAACCTTGTCATGAAATGGCTTAACACGAGTGGCTATGGTACGTTGCCACAAGTTTGCATATCGAAGAATGGTTCCAGATGTCCGAGTTCTGTCTTGGAACGTTTTGTCTGCAAAAACTACCCTAAAAATCCTGAAATTCGGTACACGTTTAAGAAGGATCTTGTGAGGGTAACGTCCGTGATGTGGACACTGATTGACATGAATTTTCAACGATCTCTACACAAGACTTAGGTTAGTCCGCCCCGGTACTATTAAGTAGGAGATTAAACAAAAACAACGTTAACTTCTCAGACCTGGCACAACCGTGCACGAAATAACGGGGTTGTAGAATGCCTCACTGACGCTCCAGAGGCATGAGTAGCTGGCACACGTTCCATTGGGGTGAACACCGATTGAGGGTCACGCCCGAAACGGGGTTAGTCAATAAACTCGATGCGGGCAGGGTTGGAGTTGAGGGACACGGGCCACAGACTTCACGCTCTCAGGCCGACCAGCCGATGTTGGCATAGCCGGAAACAGTCAGGGGCGCCAAAATCAAGCGTCAGCAACCAAAGATTCATGTGTGCCAGTTAGTGACGGTAGGTGAATTGCCAGGGTTCCAGGAATTTTCATCTCACACCGGTACAGTGTTCTAATACTGTCGATCACACAATGTTTTTTGTGCGGATATACTAATGAATACCCCGTCGACGCATAGGTCAGTGAAACAATTTTCCCAATTGATAAATATTGCTCCACTGCAAGAGCATCCGTTTCACCCGCCTTTCGCACGCTAGAGAACTTACTTTCACCCTGAAGCTCCTCAAGTCGAAACTCTCCGAGCATCTGGAAATATGATGCGATGATCATATCGTAGAAACTACGAAGACCCGTCTTGTATTGTATGGTAGAATTGATGGCTGAAATAAAAAGAATCGCCAGCTTAGACAGATTTGTTTTACAAAAAAGCGGATGGAGGAAGAATATGTGGCAGGTTAAGAAATAGTAGAGCTTCCCAAACTCGCTATCGGTTGTCTTTTCACCCGCTATTTCCTGGATAATGGCACCCGGAAATAAAAGGGTGGGTGTGTAGCGTTTCGTTCAGTACCTCCTAACCATCAGAATGACGAGACTTTTACTAATCGGACAGCCTCCATCTTCTTTCAGTACCTCCTAACCTTCGGAATGACAAGACTTTTACTAATCGGACAGCCTCCATCTCCAGCACTCTGGTCCACCTGGAATTTTCCAGTCATTTCTCATCCCCGAAAACGCTATTGAGTCAGGTTTTGGGATTCACAAGTAAACGCCATACTCAACAGAACGAGGTCTAATTTGCATGCGTCTGGGTTGAATGCGCCACTGAATTAGGGTAGTTTAGTCTTGTTCCAAGGCCACTTCGGACATAGTTCAACAAAACGGACTTGAGTAATCTTGACGTAACACGTTACTCATAAGGCTTTTGAAATCCCCCTGACGACCCACCACCGACTCCACCCTTCTTTGGACTCGCCAGGTAGGCGTAGTCCTCGAGCTTCCGTCAAACTTATGTTTTACTTGAAAACCGGATTATACTCCAACGCCCAGTTTCCCCCACCTACAAAGTAAGCTGACGTTACCTAAAAACTAAACTGAAGGCAAAATGTATATCTGGTACATGATATTCTTCAGTTTTATGGTATATAGATATGACGGAAAATTAGCTGGGTACGTATTTTATGGACTTCAACATACAAACAGCTGCGACTTACTCATTTCTTCTTGCCGATACTCAGCATAGCACCCGTTTGCAAAAGAAATCGATTGAAATGCAATTCCGTATCCCATTTGACAGACCAACAGGATGCACAAGAACGGCAGTAAGTCGTGGACGATCTGCGGTCACGAAGATAGAAGGGTGATCATAATTGCTGGGCTGTTCCGTCTACTGAATAAACAGCAGTAGTTCAATTGACCAGCGAAATCTTTTGGAAATTTGAGATATTCTGCTGTTCATAACCGCCACGTTATATGTTGTTCCGGTTGTTGCTTGCTTGAGACTTAAGGCCGTGCTTCTAAAACGGTGAGTCTAAATGAAGTGATTCATTCTGGTATCTATCCTAAGACACCGCGGTAGAATAAACCTGTTTGGAAGCGATGCTAAGCAAATGATCAGAAAGTTGCTCACGATTAGCAACTAGGCGGTGTTATCGAGTGCAATCCAAAAGCAGAACACTTGAACGGCCGTAAAAAAGTCAGTAGTACAGCTAACCTTGAGATCTAATCTGGCGGCATACCACTGCAGAACTGCATAAGAATCATTATTCCTACCGAAAATTCGAGCTCTTTATACTGAACTAAGAATCCTGGCTTTATGTATACGAACAGGGAAGCGAGAACTTTGACAAATATAAAGTCATATGTTAGAGGCAAACTCAACAGAACAGATATTGTAAAATGGACGTTCACAATTCTGGTAAAAGACACTCATTTTGTTGCTATGTTATCTGGCTCTGAATGGAATCGCTCAATTTCCGCGGAGATGGCTTCCACCATGCCATTGTAAAATGGATGTTCACAATGCTGGTAAACGACACTCATTTTTTTGCGATGTTATCTGGCTCTGAATGGAATCGCCCAATTTCCGCGGAGATGGCTTCCACCATGCTAACACCAGGATGAGTATGTGGTCATTTTTGGCAAATATTTTTTCAGTCTTGATAGCCTCAAAACAATACAACTACAGTCGAAAATACCTTGTAGACTTTCAGCATGAAGTGTGCAAAACACTTGTATGGTAACGTATCATTTTTGGGAAATATTTTTTCAGTCTTGATAGCCCCAAAACAATACAACCACAGTCGAAAATACCCTGTAGATTTTCAGCACGAAGTGTGCAAAACACTTGTATGGTAACGTAGCTACATCTATGTTTGCCGTCTGTAGGTGCAAAAAGTGTCGAAATAGGTAATCAGTTCCGACCTCAAAGCACTAAATTAGTATTACCGTACAGAAAGCGTCACCTTTGAGAATCTTGTGAATGCAATCCTGGGTCCCTTTGAAATGCTACCACTGAAAATGGTTACCTTAAAATACTGGCTGATACTCTTGCTTAGAGATAACCAAGACTAGATTATTTTATGCAAAGGTTCATCAGTAGTTCCTTCTCCACCGAGTTTTAAGATGATCCCTTGATTTACAGAGTCAAAGGGGAATGAGAGGAAGCCCATGTAATCAAGATTTTGGTCACGTGCCTTGCATTTAGTCGTTACCATAAGATCTTCACTATCGCCATGCTCGAAAATCGGACCAAAGATGCTGCAACCGATGGGCAACGGCCACTCTGGTCGAACCCGGTAGCGAGGGCCTGTATAGCTAAGGCACCAGTATCCGGACCCGAGTAAACCCTAATGGGCGAACGCAGTCATCCAGAATCACAAGTGCCAGAGATCGAGTAGGCCCTAGTGATTAGATCTGTCGCGATTTGACTGAACAACTGAATGCATGTTTCTTGCGGCGTTCGATCGTGTCATCTTACTTCGGTTCCAGTTTACAGGGCAAAAGCAGGGGAAAGCCGCCAGGACTTTGGCTCTACTGCAAGCAATGTTGACCACATGCAACAGATCTGGCGTCAAAAGTACGGTCCCAATCTGAAACATCTTCAGACTTACTCTATATTGACCAATCCAATTCTGTGCATAGCTAATCAGCATCGTTCATATATGCTCTACACTATGTTCTCCGCTACAAACGGGTGTAGTATCTTTACTGCTTACGTAACCGCTTTCAACGCTTACAGTGCTTGCGGGTGAGAAGTTCCTTAATACTGAAGGTATGCAAGTGACAGGCTGATTTAGCCATGCCAGATTCAGCTGAGAGCGCGGAAACCGCGCACTGATAATGTCTCCATGAGTGGTGACGGAACGTCTACAAGTCTATTGCCACGGATCAGTAACCATCTGTTCAACTACCAGTCCTATTTTTGGGTTTTGTTTTGTCGTGAAGTAAGTGTCATGAGTTAGGTGAATGTGGTGTACAGACATGTAGGAAACAGCAAAACATACAGAACTATTTGCCCAGCGCCTAAGAACAGTGCGATTTGGCAATCCCTAGGATTCCCTAATCAGTTTCAAAAATACCGCCTGAAGTGGTATACCTTAGGTTGGTCCTATAGAGGCGATGGAATAGAACACTGTTGTACGTACGACTATCACATGTGACTTATACATAAAATTCTCTTAAGGATTGTTCCTCTAGAAGATCTCTCTGTTACAAAAAACTCCCCATCCCTTCCAACCCAAACAATGAAGGGTGCTTACAAATAACTATCATTTTGCTTACTTACTGTTCATCCGTTTCAGAGCTAAAGGATAAAATCACTTACCATACGATTGATCATGATCAACTTCGGTCCCAAAACCATACTAAAACTGAATATGTACATCAGCCGTACGAAGAATGCGAACAGACTAAGCGCGTAGAAGATGCGAGCAATGGTGAACAGATCGTCTGTAAGAATGTAGTAAGGCAAATCGACGGTCCAGTTCTCCAACTGATCACTCCAACTTGGACTTGCAGTTTCAGTGATCGCCGAGGTTACAGTGTACAGTATGTCTTCTGACCATGTCTGATTCTGACTCATGCTGTCATTTAGCCAGTCAGGGGCAAAAGTGATGTTAGTTGAATTGGTGCTAGTTAGGTCGGTTAGTGTATTAACTGACGGCAATACAAGTGACGTCTCGAGGGATTGGTTGAAAATCAGACTTCCGAATGTATTTGTTGTATTTGTGGCTGAAGCCAGAGGTTGACGAACCATCAGGTCTTGGGCCTCCTCCTGAACCAAGCGATATGCCTGTAAACGTAGTCCAAATCCAATCATGAATAGACCGATAGCGATGCAATCCAACTGATTCCAACCGTCGCTGATATATTCGCTGATACTTGAACCGGGACCAAACGCCTGAACAGATGGAAATACTGGGATTAGAAACTGTAGCTCCGTATGTGTGAGTGAAGCTAACACTAAGAAATAACAACTGACTTCATAGATTGAATATTGCTAACCCCGAAACCGCATTTGAGGTCCGCTAAACTACTGGCAAGTGCTGAGCTACCCTGAAGGTTAGACGTATTTCATCATGTCCAAGATTTGTAGCAAAATTTGTGTGGAGGTGCTGCTTTAGGAGGGAATCGTCCCGAAATCAAACCGTTCCCTCCTCCACCAACATCATGTAGGATAAAATCCAGAAAAGCATTCGAATTACTCAGAGATTAGGCGAAAGTCCAGATGACAGAAATAGGTAGAGATATTTTATGGTTGGCTGATTAGTTACAACCCTGGCATCAGTTTGTGTGTGTGTCAGGTTTCACTCGACAACAGTCGTTTCGAGGAGAAGAGAACCAGTAACTAACTGAATTCCCACAAATCACACCTATCTCGATTATTTGTGAGTCGCACTCAGAGGTAGTGTGTCCTGTAGAGAGTAGTCTCTGTTCTACCGGATTGTGCACAGCGAAAACCGGTGGAATTGAGCGTGACACTATACTTTGACCCTCTCAGGTATAGTTTCAGCGTGAGTTGCGTTCATTTACACTGACTGTGTAATTGAGTAAATGTCTGTGATAGCTGCGCTATGGAACATCCGTTTTACTGTATTTGATTACGGTACTCAGCTGCATACTTTCATGGTATGCATGCTCTAGGAACATGTGGATACTGTGTGGCTAAATCTGATCTGCACGTTTGAAGTGAACGTAACTCTAAGAAGCTTATCATTAAGTCCGGTTCCGACAAGTGTCCTCTCGTGGGAGGAACACTGTAGCTACAAACGTTTAGTAGCTTGTTTGCCTGAGTAGCGAGCAAGACTAAATTCTAAAAGCGTGTGGTATGTATGCACTCACTTGTTTGAGTTCTTCCGATAGGAACGAAACCACCATGAGTATCAGAAAGTAGTCATAATAGGAGAAACTCAGAGTCAGCGACTTCAGAAGACTAAGGCTGAAGATTGCCAGAAATAGTAAGTAAAATAGCTGAAAAAGCAGTGGTCATCAAATAGTCAAATCTTTTACCGTGCTGTATATGAAACGCGTTATTGGCGCTTGGTAGAACTGCTGGATTCGAATAAATTGTGTTTTTAACCTGAAAAAAGGAGGAAATAGGTCACAAAGCCATAGAGAGCTTTGGCGTGCTTGCGTGTCAACTGCTTATGGAAAACTAGGTCAATGTAACATGAACATACAATATCAGCTCGTTTAGTGTGAATAGCACATAATATGGTGTGTTGTGCAATACACCCAGTTATCGTAGTTTTTACAGTTTCATTTATTAGCGCCACAATTCACAGTCAACACATCCTAAAATTTTTGATAGTTTCATTCAATAAGTCTCACTTCACGGTTTCCGCGGAGGACCTGCTCAAACCGGGGGCCCCACTTAAAGTGTTCTCAGGGAAGGCAAAACACCTCGAACAAAGCCAAAAGTCCTGTTTTTTCATGAAGTCTCTTCGTGAGCGTCATTGTATCCGTAGTTTGGCTTACTAGTTACTTTCAGTCACAAAACTAACCATTTTTCCGAACAATTTTATGAATCGTAAGGTGAAAGTCCAACTCACCTAGATGGTGGTTGTTCCAATAGGTTACCACTCACAGAATATCTGAGAGACTGCAGTCGATCGCCTTTTCGGGCTGCTTCTGATGACGGTGGTACTTCTTCCTCGCCTCCCTGTTTTTCGAAAGGAGCAAGAGTAGCATTCATATCTGTTTTCAATAACTACCATCAGCAATTAATTTGAGATTAACTACAGCTATAAATGTGACTGTAACAAGTTACTGCAGTAAACTGCAGTCCCACTAGATGAGAACATCGAAGAATCACGTGTAAAAAGTACATTTTTCCCTTTTCGAAAAAGTTTGGTGACAGTCGGTAGATTTCTTGCTGGGAAACGCTTGGCATTTGGCACAAAAGCTTCGTCAGGCCAAGTGACCAGGTTCCGAGGTTGGTCGAGATTTAAGGAGGGAGAACCAATCAGCTGAGTCAAGCTAAATCTCTGTTGGTTTTCGGCCAAGGGAATCGCACGCCAGAATTGGTGAGCATAAAAGGATAAACAAACAACCAAAGAATACAGAGGAATACCAAACGCTGGTCAAAGACTCAGCGATGGCGGTACATGCCTTAGACACGGGACATAGAACAGATCTGGAGAATGTGGAAGTTTTAAGACGGGGACTGTGATGCACACCACAGCGGCTGATAGTCAAGGCGGTGGAAATTACTAAGCATCACAGCGTGAACAGAATCGAGGATGTGGAACTGGCGAACGTATGGAAAGCGGTCTTATATAAGCCTAGCTGACACGTGACGGTGTGGTTGTCAATCCACGTAGAATCATTAAAAAACTGGGGAGTGGGGGTGTAAATCCCAACCTGACCAAAGGTCACAGCATACCCTTTACATTTTTCCCTGTTAGGCTAAGTTCACAATATCGAACGTCCAAAATGAGAAAATCTTAGCGAAAATCTCACCTAAACATCGGAAATCGCATTTTATTGGTACAAACAGCTGCAAAAATTTGTGTAGAACTGGTGTTGCAGTAGCAAACTCACCTCAGTGTTGCTATTGTGGACAGTATCACACACCTTGAACCACATCTAATGGCATTGTACAGCACACGCAAGCAACTGTTGCGGTGGTTGTGCATGCTGCTACGACTGAACTTGGGGTAGTGTGTCCGGAGGACCGTGGTTGGAACAAACGTCTATCTAGAAAGTTCCGTTCCATCTAGAAGCCTTAAGAACCGCTGAGCGATTTGGTAAGCATGTTGATCCAAAGTAACAAGATTGCAATTATAAATGTAGCACCATGCCAATCGTTTCATTCCTGACTCAATCAAGTGTGCTCCCCAGTTCGAAAGTCCAGCTGGAAAGAACGTGTAAGCCACCAATCTTTACCACAAGAAACGAACTTGTATGGCGGCATTATGGTAATTCCATGCTTTGTGAAAATATAATTAAGATGTACTGCTTTTGTCAAACGCTTTTTAGAAGTTTGGCAAATGAACCACTAAACTTGTATGCTACCACTTTCGGCTATAGAACCCACAACCTTTGATGAAGCTCGGAGATACATGAAATTAATGCATTTGTAAAAAGCATTTTATAACCCAACTCGCTGTTCGGCGATTGAAACGAAGAAACGCACTACACCTAAGAGCAATTTAGAAACATCTTAATGGGCAATATGCGCAGCCGCTGGACGAAGGATGGCGTTATTTGAAACAAATTACCTCTGGACTGAGAAACAGCTATTATTTTTAGACACGGAGGAAGAAATCCACAAATCATCAACACCAAGGCACATAAACTCGATTGTGCCAGGCAGAGATCTCGAACCGGACATAAATAGGTGCAATACACACATTTGCTACCGGTGCTAACGGGGGACATAAGTGAATTCCAACTGAATATGTCGTTTATAGCATTCTTCAAGTGACTGCTGCATGAAGGTAATCTCATCTTTCAGTTGGTATGATATTCGAGATATGGCAGCATTTTTTCTCGAAGGAACACCACTCACTGTTCTAGAGTATTCACAATATTCCGAGCGGTGTTCCCTCTTCAATTTTAATCCAGTAGAACCCTTCAGGTTGTTGCATAGATAAAAATCGTGGAAAAAGAATTACCTGATCCACTGAGGATGCTCCATCGTTGCCATCTGTAATGTACTTTGTAATCTGTGGCAGTAGTAGCGGGAAGGTCAATCCGACAATTATTCCAGAGAGAAACTAGAATGCAAAGAGACAACAATGAGCAGCCAAGTTGTACTTGGTTTCTGATGGGACCACATCATTCGGTTGTTCAGATATAGGGGAAATTCCGCGAGAAACGAATATGACCACCTTGTTTCCAATCACAGCTTCCCTAATTCTCTTCCAATAAAACTGCGATGAACACGAATATATCTGCCCGTTCACTCTTAGGTTTCAGTCACTTTCGGATTGGCTGTCCAAATGAGAACTAGAAAGTAACTTGACTTTGGACTTCAGATCGGTATCTGGAAGAGCGAAAACGGCTGTTCTCAGATATACAACTGATGACGTACTAGAAACTAATGGGCTCAAAATCCTTTTGGAATGTATATCTGTCATTCATCGTCCTATCTAGGTAGACAACCCCAACTGCATCTTGGCACTCCAAGAGTTATATGAGGAGTGTCTTAACACTTGTGTTTCCTCATGAGCTACATTTACTCAGCACGACAATGGAAAAAACGGCACAATCATTTCGCCAGCGCATTAGGGACATTTCGCAGGGGGGTTTGAAAAGAACGCATGATTCCCACATGTAAATGATCGTTTTTACACTGCAGCAGCCAATTTTATGTTAAACATCAGATTGCTTTGTCCTATTGGTGCCTTTCGCAACTGTTTGTAAGCCAAAATCTGGCAGGCTGATGTGTCTTCTTTCGTTCGAAGTTTTGGGATCAATGATTGTCCTATCCATCGACTCAGAACACACAATCATGTAACTGGAATATCCGCATGCAATTTTACTTCCATTATGAACGCATTCCTTCTTAAGCAATCATAGTTCCATCATAATGGAGCATTCCTAGCCCCATGACATGGGCTTCACTGAATCCGTCTAAATAGCTACCTGTCAAGACCAGCAAAACCACAATTGCCTGGGGATGTAATCAATACTATTATCATTTAATTTTGAAGAGCATGGTCACAAACATAAAAAGTGAGTGCGAGCGATGAATGCGAAAGAGTAACAGGAGAATATGGGAGAAAAGAGAGAAACGTCTCATTCGAGATCATGCCAAGGGCAGTGCCAGTCT